ACTACTTCAATGATTGAGTGTTTCTGGATCGTTATTTGTGTTGACAAATTATATCGAACTCGAAATTGAAGTTAGATGGAACTGTTCTATTGTTTTAATATTGGTTGTTTATTTTACTTATATTCAGAAATTATGGAACTGTTTTTAAAATAGATTCTCTAAAAAGAAAATAATTATAGTCAAATCCCTTGTATTCTGCGACTAAGCTTAACATTTACTTAAAAATCTTGCGACTTTATAAGTTGTTTTGGTTTAAAATAATGAAAATGACGATCGCGTTTTAATTTTTTATTTTTATTTTGAGCGTGAGTATGTTAGGCGAATGAGTCTACCTAACAAGTCTGGGTTTCAGCATCACCATCCACTACATGCCACACACAACACTACGACAGTGCTACTTGTGTACATGGATTGTCAGCTACTTATCTATCCGGATTGTGCACATATATAACAAAAACTTTGCATTTGACCCACCTTCCTCCTTGCCAATTTAATGTTATATATCTACCCACCCCTCAATATATAACATCTCTAGAACCCCCACCCCTACCTCTTATAACATGTAGGGATTGGTGTGTCAATTAACTCATGCCTAATACCTTAGGAGTTTGCAAAAAAAAAATCAAAGTAGTTAATATATCACCTCCACGCCATATAACACAATATAACAAAATAACCAACCATCCAACTACCCTTTTGTGTTTAATATGTGAGTGTAGCCACACTAGTATAACTTTTTGTAAACCAATCATCCTACCCGTAAAGCACATTAATGTAATAATTCATAATCCATAACAGCCGAGAAAAACGCCCACTTATATAATTATCACCAGGGTATGGCTTAAACATGGTTTACCCTTTAGTGTTGATTGAGATACTTTTTTTTTACTCTTCTCTACATGCGCTGTAGGTTTTGTAAGTGTATGTGATTATTACTTATTGATCAGAGGTGTGTTTACTAATACAATATTGTAATTTCGTTATTTTACTTCACGTAAAAAAAACGTCATGCTGATGTTCATTTGCAAATTGAAGGGAATTCATTGTGATTTTATTATGGTACACTTAGAATACAGGTTCGTTGTATTACACATACATGGGACGTTCATTAAAATCAACACATACTGGGGCGTTAATTAACCAACATATACATAGGACGTTCATTAACCAACACATACATGGGACATTCGTTAAAATCAACACATACATTGGGACTTTCATTAACCAACACATACATAGGACGTTCATTAACCAACACATACTGGGACGTTCATTAATCAACACATACATAGGACGTTCATTAACCAACACCTATATGGAACGTTCATTAACCAACACATACATTGGACGTTCATTAACCAACACATACATAGGACGTTCATTAACCAACACCTATATGGAACGTTCATTAACCAACACATACATAGGACGTTCATTAACCAACACATACATGGGACGTTCATTAACCATCACATATATGGAACGTTCATAAGACGTTCATTAACCAACACATATATGGGACGTTCATTAACCAACACATGCATGTGACTTTGGGACGTTCATTAACCAATACATATATGAGACGTTCATTAACCAACGCATACATAGGACGTTCATTAACCAACACATACATAGGACGTTCATTAACCTACACGTACATAGGACGTTCATTAACCAACACATACATAGGACGTTCATTAACCCACACATACATAGGACGTTCATTAACCCACATATACATGGGACGTTCATTAACCCACACATACATGGGACGTTCATTAACCCACACATACATAGGACGTTCATTAACCAACACATACATAGGACGTTCATTAACCCACACATACATGGGACGTTCATTAACCCACACATACATAGGACGTTCATTAACCAACACATACATAGGACGTTCATTAACCAACACATACATGGGACGTTCATTAACCAATACATACATGGGACGTTCATTAAAATCAACACATATATGGGACGTTCATTAACCAACACATACATAGAACGTTCACTAACCAGCACATACATAGAACGTTCATTAACCCACACATACATAGGACGTTCATTAACCAACACATACATGGGACGTTCATTAACCAATACATACATGGGACGTTCATTAAAATCAACACATATATGGGACGTTCATTAACCAACACATACATAGAACGTTCACTAACCAGCACATACATAGAACGTTCATTAACCCACACATACATAGGACGTTCATTAACCAACACATACATGGGACGTTCATTAACCAATACATACATGGGACGTTCATTAAAATCAACACATATATGGGACGTTCATTAACCAACACATACATAGAACGTTCACTAACCAGCACATACATAGAACGTTCATTAACCAACACAAACTTAGGACGTTCATTAACCAACACAAACTTAGGACGTTCATTAACCAACACAAACTTAGGACGTTCATTAACCCACACATACATAGGACGTTCATTAGACGTTCAGTAACCAACACATACTGGGACGTTCCTTAACCAACACACACATAGTACGTTCATAAGACGTTCATTAACCAACACATACTGGGACGTTCATTAACCAACACATAAATGGGACGTTCATAAGACGTTCAGTAACCAACACATAATGAGACTTTCAGTAACGTACAAAGCATGCTTCGTGGAGTAGCCTACACAAATACACAGACCTTCGTGTGGACAGAACAGAGTAAAAAGGTCAAAGCATTGTTTCACTATACAGGCCTTACACTCCTCATTCAACACATCGCATACAAATCTTGTTTTGTACACACTGTATCAACAATTGCGTTACACAATCATATTCTTTCATACACACTAGATATGTACACAATCATACTCTTTCACACACACTAGATATGTACATGCACCTGATACCACTTACTTACACATTAACTATTCCCATGGCGCCACGCACTTTCATTCATGCTACTTTATGTATGCACTTTTATCCCAGTCTTTATTCACTATGTTTGATATCGAACAACCACGCAGTACTGAACTGAATTACGAGCGCGGTCTTCAGTTCACTTGGCTTTTGATGGGAACGATACAAAGTGTGTGTGTGTGGGTGGGTGGGGGGGGGGGGGTTGTTTTATGTTTAGATCTACTTCTCATCCCTTGGTTAAAACAATCAAATATTGTTATGGTAGAAAATACAGTCCTGTCGGAAAATGTATATATTTTTATGGATTTCAAGACATTGTATACTACTTAATGTTTTGCAAAGGTGTAGGTGGGGGAAAGGTTTTATTATTTATTTATTTTTAATTTTTAACTTTTTGGCGTCAATTAAAAACAGACCGTTGTTTCTTTTTTTTTTTCTAATAACCTTTGGTTAACGACGTTAAATCGATAGTCTGCTTGTGGTCTTTACTCCGCCAGTCACTGGGTATATTGGGTGGGGCTATTGGTGTAACATTTAATGAAAACAATGATCAACATTGTCATAGTCTACTTCCGTTCTTTGTTTTTTTTTTAAACTGAAAAACAATATCGATTGCTTTGAACGGATCAATATATATCGGTAATATTCTGAGAGTTTTTTTTAAAATATTTAAACAAATATTTTACAAGGAAGATGAGTCACCGCTGCTGAGCAGTTAAAACATTAGCTCAGGGCCCAGTTACCTGGATACTTCTTGTCAGAGGTGTACCTCCATGTGGAACTGTTGGCTGAAGACTACTACTGTCCAGTTCTTTTGATTCTATGTGGGACGGCTGGCTGAAGATTACTACTGCCCAGCCCTTCTTCCGATTTTGTGATTTTTACAAGCTTTTATTACACTCACTTCCTCTGTCTGTCTAGACCGAAACGCCGGAGCGAAAATTCGGACACTTCTAACTGACAGATACGGTTCGTAATTGGTACGTGGGTCAAGACATGAAGACAATGCATTATGACATTAAATTTGACTTAATTGGATGACTAATTATTACACCGTATAGTTCTAGAGCAGTGGATCTTAACCTGGGTTCCATCGAACCCTTGGGGTTCGGCGATTCAGTATCATGGGTTCGGCGGAGGTCAAGACACACACCAGGCTCGTTTGATTCACGATCGGATTTTGTCAGTGGGGACGATAGACGTATTAAGAAAGGTTCGATGAATGCTCATATGAAACTTGATGGGTTCGGTTCCTCCAAAAACTTTAAGAACCCCTGTTGTATAGTACGTTTTAAACACACCACCGGTCAACAAGGCAATGCTTTAGTAAAGAGATCAAGTTCACCTGTTTGTTCTCGTCTTTTAATAGTTTAGTTCTAGTTTAACTGATGATTGCAAATTCGAATTTATTTTTTTTCAAGGATTTTCATCGAATTGTTGTCTGATTCGTTGGTCTATGCATCTTTAATTGAGTTCCCGTCGTGTGTTTGAGGAGAGACTTAACAAAAGAATAAAGCGCCGAGTTACTTGCTGTTATGTTTGTAGCCAATGTATAACGTGAAGCCAGTGCATATCTTGTAGCCAGTGTATATCGTGTAGCCAGTGTATAACGTGAAGCCAGTGTATAACGTGAAGCCAGTTTATATCGACCATACATTTTCTTTGATGAGCGAATGTCAATTAATTGCCATATCCTTTGACATTGTTTGATTTTTATTTTGAAATTATTTCTCAAGTTTCCTTATGCATCGGGCGTTTGGCTGTAGAAATTTAGTTAATTTATAATTCGTAATTTTACTTTGACAAAGTTTGAAACCATTTTCCCCCCTAATTTTTTTAGAACTAAATATCATTAATATTGCATACCCGGATGCTGCCATTGTTTTAATTTTATCCAACGTCCAAAACAGGAAACTGGATATTCGTGGAAGATCATATTTTTAAAAAACACTTCTGTGTGGCATCGGAAATTTCATCAGATGAGGCCGACCGGTCGAATGCAGACTGCTCTAGGTCCAATTCGGACAACTGCCGGACAAAGGATTTGTGAGGGTATTAAATGACACGTCTTGTTTGTTCTAGATACTAGACCCCGGACACCGCGGAACGACCTTGAACTATGATTAGTGGAGGAAGCCGAAAGGATTAGAGCATGCTGGAGATGCGAAAGAGCAACATCCAGTACCCGTTTGCTACTCATTATGATATTAGCAGAGCGGGAGGTACAGCTTCATCTCTGTAAGTTTGTCTGTCTGTTTGTCTGTCTGTGTGTGTGTACGGTCGCAAGCTTTGTTTATTGATGTAACACAATCTTTGTAAGTCTTCTATTGATGTTAGCTAGTTCTTTCTTGCAATTGATGTTAGCTAGTTCTTTCTTGCACGTATTACCCGAATTCCGCACAATTCTTTTTCTATAGTTATGTATTTTTTTTTATACAACCACGTGTATAAGTAGTCTATTTACACACAAAATATATGAAACCACGTGTATCTAAATATGTATACAACTGTATCTTAGATATACGCATTATACAGCCTCTTCTTTAATTTAGCATACAACCACAGATCTCTGTCCTTATATATATCTAAGTCATTATCATGCCATATGTCTAACTCATTATTCAGCCACATCTCTAAGTCATAATACAACCACGTCTCTTAGTCGTTGTACAAACGCATCTCTAAATCATTATACCACCACATAGCTCCATTCTTACATAACATCTGTAAGTCATTATAGAGCCAAATGTCTGAGTCATAATACAATTACATCTCCAAATCATAATATCATTTAAACTCTAAGTCACTACCGAATACTACTACATCTCTTTGACTCTATACCATGATATCTTCAAGTCAGTATACAATTATATCTCTACGTCATTTCGCTATAGCATCTCCAAGTCATGATACCATTACTTTACATTCCTAAGTCTTGATACCATTACATTTCTAAGTCATTATATCATTACATCCCTAAATCATGATACCATTACACCCCTAAGTCATGATACCATTACATCCCTAAGTCATTATATCATTACACCCCTAAGTCATGATACCATTACATCCCTAAGTCATTATATCATTACCTCCCTAAATCATGATACCATTACCTCCCTAAGTCATGATACCATTACATCCCTAAGTCATTATATCATTACATCCCTAAGTCATTATATCATTACCTCCCTAAATCATGATACCATTACATCCCTAAGTCATTATATCATTACCTCCCTAAATCATGATACCATTACATCCCTAAGTCATTATATCATTACATCCCTAAGTCATGATACCATTACATCCCTAAGTCATTATATCATTACAACCCTAAATCATGATACCATTATCTCCCTAAGTCATGATACCATTACATCCCTAAGTCATTATATCATTACAACCCTAAATCGTGATACCATAACATCCCTAAGTCATTATATCATTACCTCCCTAAATCATGATACCATTACATCCCTAAGTCATTATATCATTACAACCCTAAATCGTGATACCATAACATCCCTAAGTCATTATATCATTACAACCCTAAATCGTGATACCATAACATCCCTAAGTCATTATATCATTACATCCCTAAATCGTGATACCATAACATCCCTAAGTCATTATATCATTACATCCCTAAATCGTGATACCATAACATCCCTAAGTCATTATATCATTACAACCCTAAATCGTGATACCATAACATCCCTAAGTCATTATATCATTACATCCCTAAATCGTGATACCATAACATCCCTAAGTCATTATATCATTACATCCCTAAATCGTGATACCATAACATCTCCAAGTCTTGATACCTCTACAGCTCTAAACCTCTAAGCTATTCTACAAATCAGTAGCCTATATCTTTGGCACACAGAAACATCTCATGGTTAATGCTGTTATCTAGGCCCCACATCTATATTACACTGTTACTTCATTAGCATGCAACTTGTTGTTTACGCACTTGCATCTCTTTGAGTAGTCCTCACATCTATAATGCCCTTAAATTACCGCAGCTATGCTAATAGAATTGTTATTCAAGTGCTAGCAACTGCCAACCAGATACCGAAGAGAATTGTTTACTTCCCTTGTGAGACGGTGTTATTCTTTTAAAATCAAAATGGCGGCGTGTTTAAGCCTCGAGAATGTATCTCTTGGCAACGCGAAAACTTTAAAAACTAGTATTAAAAATGTATACAGCGACAAAACAAATACTCTCGACTGAATGGAATACTTTGGATGTCTTGTGTCTTAGGCTAGTTGAGCTACTGTCCGATCGTGAAGATGGGAATGGGTGGGGATTGGTCAGAGGATAGTTTGTTTACCATGGGTATCGATCTTTCTAGAACTGATAAGAGAAAGGTCGAACTTAGCTTTAGCCTGATCTGTTGCAATTAGGTTTACTAGTCTGTAATGCTTGTTGGAATATTGCTCTTATTGTTTGATTTTGTTGTTGCCCTAAACTTTTTGTTGTTGCTGTTTTTGAACAAGGTCGTGGTAATACTGTATGCCACCTTCTTTAGACAGACATTTGATTTATCTGGCTCTGTTGTTGGGGGGGGGGATGTCCTGTAGCCATTTTAAACTTAAATACACACTTATTTTGCATATTGTGCTCCGTAAAACCTTTGGTTAAGTATATTTATATTCAATATGAAGAATTTTTTTTCTCTAGTAGAACATTTTAAAATGCATATTTGTTTTTATTATAAGCTTTTTTTATTGCATTTAATAGTTTTATATAAGGGATAGCTGTAGGTGACAAAGAATATTGAATGTGTTGTGAAATACACAATAGTGATGTGTTTTTCTTTGTACAAAAGCGATTTCTAGATCACACCCCTCCAGCCCAATCTGACTGTGTAAGACTGGGCTGTATTGACCAGATCTCGGACATTAGATGGACAAGATGTTCTAGCGACCCCAATTTTTTTTTCATGCGAATATAACCAGGGTCAAACTAAACAAGCACCCTCTTAGTTGACTGTCTAGAGCCCATTGACAGGTCCCCTGGAAATAATTTGAGCACCCGAGGGGTAGCGACCCTCTTTCTCTCTCTCTCTCTCCTTCCCCCCCCCCCCCACGTATATATATATGGTTATTCACGTTGTCAAAAAAGATAACCCCACCCCTTTTTGGAAAGGTCAGTGGCGATATTTACAAGTCACTGTCTCCTAATTTTAAAAAAAAAGGTTTTGGTCACACACTTGATTTATAAAACAGTTAAATCAGTCCGCAAAGCCGAAGCATTCTATATACTTGACTTCGACTGTTTGACGCCCCTCTAGGGTATGCCCGGGGTGCACCCCCCCCCCCCAGCTACGCCTCTGCTGTATAGACTTACATGTAATTTGTTGATACGCAGTCACCGACTCGCTTAAAATCCTAGACCCACACAGACACTCAGAGTAAGAAAAGTTTTTTTTCGGCCAACGTTGGAGGAAATACGCAAGATGCTTATATCCGCTCCACCGTGAGTGCACATAAACACATAATGGAAAATGCGTATTTCCTCTATCGTTGGCCGAAATAAGCAGTACCATTAGAATCAATGAGTTACTTGGCCTGCTGGAATGATCTACTAGCAGTAGCAGTGACCCAACACCGCGTTTAGCGTGAGCAGACTTCTCCCAGCATGCACCCTCCCGCCCTCTCTTTTAGAGGAACCATTGAAACATCACGTGAAATTTTCTAGCTATCCGATTGGTTATTACCCTTTGAAGATTGAATCAGTATTTTTTTTTTGTGAGCTTTATTGGGAATTATCGATCACTTAAACGAGATCGATAAAACCCATCGAAAGTTGCATTATAATTTTTTTGCTTTGGATCACAGAGTAAACCGAATCCTCGTCGAATGCTGCAACGCCATAGTGTGGCCGTTTTTTTCATGTTGGATTGTTTCGTTTGAAGTTTTCAAGTTTTGTAATCACCACTTTCCTTTCATGGTGTATAGTGTTATTTCATGAGCTCGCGCGCTAGTTAACAGAATGAGTCGGACGGTTACAATTACACAATACAGGTTAATAATTACACAATCAAATTACACAATACATGTCAATTACTACATAATTAAATTACTCGGCAAGTTAGATTTTTGTTGTTGTGATATTATAAAAACATGGGCGCTCAATAATGATAATTGAACATAGGTCTTAGATTATGTTGTGCAACGTAAACCTATCAATAAACTCTGTATGAGGGAATATGTTTTATGTAAGTGAGCTTTTATATGTAGTCATTCCAACATATAAATTTAATAAGGCTACACCTAACTACATTTTTTTTTACTTTTAGTGCATTTTTTCCTTTGTGATTTTTGTGTGTTTTGTGAATCTTCTTCTTTTTCATCTTTCTTAATTTTAGTGTTGGGAAGGATCCCCTCCAACACAATTAAGTATACGTGTCAACTGGTTATGTGCCGTATGGGCCGTTGACTCCGATATTTGCCTGGTTTTCTTTTTGGATTTGCTTCCATAGCCTTTGTCCAACCAAGAACAAACTACAGGGCAGCAGTTGTTTGATTTTGGAGTTGTCTCTCCTAGAAGAGTGGCTGTCCCCAGCTAACGAGCCTCATCTGCCCGACGGTTTAGCAACCATGAGCTTTACCGACTCGACCACGCCGACCCCTATTTGTGAATCTATTTAAAGCCGTTTTCCTTATTATTTTTTTTTAATGTGAGATTTATTTTCAATAGTCTTGCTAACGAACAACACAAATTATTCGACTGACTAGCCTCCCCTTTGCTGTACATAATTGAGTAGCTTCCCCTGTGCGACCACGACTAACGACTCCATAAATTCTGACCAGTCCCAACAATGGTTTATTAAGCTTAGCCGAAACGTTACACCAGAACTTAACGAGTGCGACCATCCTGTAAATCTGTTTACTGGAAGAGAATACTTTTCAATTTAGCGCCATGGTTACCATACCTGAAGATGTCAAGTAGTTTGGAACCTCGGCAGAATTATTTTTTTATTGTCTTGCTGAAATTCGAATTCACGCGGATTTTAAAAACAAAAATGGATATCGTCAATAAATCATTAAATGACGTCATACACAGGAATGGGAGAACTGGGGCTATGGGTTATGATGTGTTTGGTGGAAAGAGATGAGGGGGGGGGGGGGTGGCAAGAAATATGACGTAGCGTTTTTATTGTAGGTGGATTGGTGGAGTTGTGATATTTTAGGCTGAGAGGAGGGGTAGTGGTTTTGTGAGGACGTTTGGATATAAAGGGGATGGGTTGGGTGATGGTAAAAAATGTGATGTCTTTAATTCCTAATCTCTTAACAACACCAGCAGAATGACGCCGCGGGCACATTTACGCGTGATATTTTGATATCACATTCTTTATTAATCAGTATTGAATTACGTTAGGATTGTAGACCTGCTTTATGTCACTCATCTACAGATGTGGGAAGCCAGGTCGTCCAACCTAAACCCATTTAAATACGGTTGGTCTTTTGAACTGGAGATATTGGGGTGGCGTCAAACCAACAATGCAATTATCTGACCCTCACTAAATTAGGTTCCAAATCGAACATTTGGATCTTTTCCAGATAAGACCGCCAAAAAGTAACGCCGCCACTCAAACAAGGTTATAAAAAGAGGATGTGAAACTTGTACTTTCAGATTTTATTGATGAGGTTGAAATTGTGACAGGTCATTAATAATTTGCATGAAAAGCTCTGTATTTAGGTACCATCAACCCTAAGCCTAAAACTAAAGCTCTGTATTTAGGTACCATCAACTCTAATCCTAACACTAACTCTTGAGGAGTTGTTTTTATAGCGTGGGTTTAAATATTCAAATGTCTAGACATCAGAAATATCTCACAAGTGGCGGGGCTTAACTTTTCGACCCTGCACTTTTTGCATTCGTGACGGGGCTTATCTGGATAAGACCCAAACATTCTATATAACGTTTTAATAAAATATTTCTTTCTGTTATTTCTTTTCGTCAAAGTTTGCTAGACGTTTATCAGATTTGTATTAGATTTCTTACTGACGATAGATATTTCATGGGCTGCAATATTTATTTATTTATTTTGCTAGGTATTTTTATTTTGAAAATTTACCAACTTCCATTTCTAATCTAAAAATAGATAAAAACCTTCTTAGTCTTGACTTTGGTTGAATATCTATCTGAATAAAAAAATTCTGTTACCCAGACCACAGCAGACGTCAAAACTTCCCCTGATACCAACAGCCACCGCCCCCAGCCACAGTGAGAACAGGTTAGTTCCGGTTTTGTCTGGCAAGGACGGGATGGGAGCCTTCAGGACCGCAGCAGACCTGTACGAGGGGGACGACCGGGTCAGGATCCTGGAGACCAGGCTGGGGGTCACGGAGAAGTCCAACAGGGCGTTGTTGGAGGAGGTCATAAGGATGCAGGGGGAGCTCAAGCTGATGGTCAGGAAAAACGAGGAGAGTATTAAGGTAGGTGCTGGGATGGGGGGAGGGGGGTTGGGGTGGGGGGTGGGGGTCAAGCTGATGGTCAGGAAAAATGAGGAGAGTATTAAGGTAGGTGCTGGGGGTGGAGGGGGGTGGGGAGCTCAAGCTGATGGTCAGGAAAAATGAGGAGAGTATTAAGGTAGTTGTTGGGGTAGGGGGGGGGAGCTCAAGTTGATGGTCAGGAAAAATGAGGAGAGTATTAAGGTAGGTGTTGGGGTAGGGGGGGGGGAGCTCAAGCTGATGGTCAGGAAAAATGAGGAGAGTATTAAGGTAGGTGTTGGGGTGGGGGGTGGGGGGGGGAGCTCAAGCTGATGGTCAGGAAAAATGAGGAGAGTATTAAGGTAGGTGCTGGGGGTGGGGGGGGGGGAGCTCAAGCTGATGGTCAGGAAAAATGAGGAGAGTATTGAGGTAGGTGTTGGGGTGGGGGGGGGGGGGAGCTCAAGCTGATGGTCAGGAAAAATGAGGAGAGTATTAAGGTAGGTGCTGGGGGGTGGGGGGGGGGGAGCTGAAGCTGATGGTCAGGAAAAATGAGGAGAGTATTGAGGTAGGTGTTGGGGTGGGGGGGGGGGAGCTCAAGCTGATGGTCAGGAAAAATGAGGAGAGTATTGAGGTAGGTGTTGGGGTGGGGGGGGGGAGCTCAAGCTGATGGTCAGGAAAAATGAGGAGAGTATTGAGGTAGGTGTTGGGGTGGGGGGGGGGGGAGCTCAAGCTGATGGTCAGGAAAAATGAGGAGAGTATTAAGGTGGGTGCTGGGGGGGGGGGGAGCTCAAGCTGATCGTCACGAAAAATGAGGAATTAAGATAGCTTCTCCCCCTCTCCACCACAGAACCTAAGCTGATGGTCAGGAAAATAAGTACAATTAAACAGTGGTTACTGTGTGGGGAGGGGTGGTGGTAAGTAATGAAAGTTATTAGATTATACATATTAATTGCAGCTGGTACTTAAGAGGATTATATAATTGTGAAGGGGATGAACAATTTGCATTGTGCATCAATGGTGCAGGAACAATAATTTAGGTGAACTTTAAAATCTCAATAAATGATCTATTTAAAGGAATTAATAGTTTTTAATTTAGACTAGAGTCAATTGAAAAATTTGAAATCTATGAGGTATAGATAAAAAACCTTGCACAGGTATAATAATTGTGTTTAGTGAAATAGCAAGTAATAATCACATTTTTTTTGTTCACATTGAGTTTTTCATGATAAATATTGATTTTTTTATACATAGTTTTAGGTTATTCCCCTTGATTTTCTTAAGATTTTATAAATGGGAAGTAACTAATACAAACAGTTTTAAACAATTCTATTTATCAACATGGCAATATATTGAACTATAAATATATAAATATATAGGCCTATATATATATATATATATATATATATATATATATATAGGCTTATATATTTATATATTTATAAGCTGTCAGTTCTTCCTTTCTTCTGTCATTGGTATGCACACTTTGTCTTCCCTTTAAAGCTGGAGAAAGGTGGTGGTGCATAGGGAAGTCTCTTTCTGGTCCCTGGGTTCGGATGCACTCAGAAACTTTACCAGTTTAGAAAGAAAATATTATCTTTTGTACTAAGGTAAAACATAATGTTTACCTCCTAAGTGATAAAAACACAAAAAAAAATTATTTTTGCTTACCATTTTCCCAGGATGAGCAGTTATCTCGCCAACAGATAGAGAACTCAATCAGAATGGTGAATGACCTGATGACCAAGCTGTCCATCAGAATCAAGACAGCAGAAGACAGAATCATAGAGGAGAAGTCTGCCCTGTCTTCCCTTATATCCCACACCAAGGGGGTGGAGCAGGCGGTGGTGGCAGGGCAGCACACACTCTCAGTGAAGAAAGACTCTCAAGCTTCCAAGTTGGTATCTTGTATTTCATTGGCTAGTTCTGTTGCTTTATTCCATTGGATAGTTTTTGCCTTATATTTTTGAAATAAGTTTATTGGTTAGATCAGCAATCAGCTAATTGTGCCAGATTTAGAACTTCTTGGGACTCATTAAATAATCAGATAATAAAGTAATAGACATGGCTTTATTAAAAATAGATGTTTAAGCTTATTTTAAAATTAAAGAGTTGTTTAACCATCAATCATTGGTATTTACATTTTAAGGCACACAAACTCACCTATAACTTAATTTGATTCCTGAAATGATTTTCATACAACTATCTGATTTAGCAGCAATTCTAAAAAAATAGTTAGCTAACTCCTCCAGGGGATTATAGCTTATAAAGAAATGTGTACATTAAAACAAACATTGAAATTTTGCTAGATAGTGACAATCACAATAAGAATAACAAAAATAATCAACTAATTTTTAAAAAATGTAATCTGTCATAAAACAACCACTCTACTTCAAGAAAGGACATTGAAGTTAACTAATATGCAAAGAGATCATATATAATAATAATAATTAATCACCAAGACTAAAATCTATTTTAAATATGTATTTAATTTATACAAACTAGAATCCAGGAACTGACTCTGCAGTTAAGTGATATGCAGAGAAGTCGAGATCAGCTAGAGAAATTAACATTTAGTTTAACAGAGGAACTGAGGAATGTTAGGTTAAAGTTTGAGACACAAGCCATGGAGCTCTCCAGTACTGTCAACGACCTGAAGCTGAGGTCTAGGAGGTTGGAGGAGGAAAATAAAGTGCAGGTTGGTTACAGATTCAATTTTCATCAGATTCACTTTATCATCAGATTTACCCCATCATCAAATTCACCCCATCATCAGATTTATACTATAAGCAGTCACTATATCATCAGATTCATCCTCATATTTACTCCTTCATATTCACCTCATCGTCAGATTCATCCTATCATTACTCACACTAACACTAGACTACTCTATTAATCACCCTATTATCAAATTCTCTTATCACCCAATCAACTCTATTATCATATTAATCCTATTATCAGATCCACTCTACCATCACACCCACCCTACCATCTATTCCACCCTACCATCACACCCACCCTACCATCTATTCCACCCTACCATCACACCCACCCTACCATCTATTCCACCCTACCATCACACCCACCCTACCATCACACCCACCCTTCCATCACACCCACCCTACCATCACACCCACCCTACCATCATTTCAACCCTACCATCACATCCGCCCTACCATTGCACCCACCCTACCACCACACCCACCCTAACATCGCATCCACCCAACCACCACACCCACCCTACTATCACACCATACCTACCATCAGTACCACTCTACCACCACACTCACCTTACCATCACATCCACCCTACCACCACACCCACCCTACCATCTGACTGTATAAACACATTGTTTACCCTCTTGTAGTTGGATGCCCTCAGGAAACAGGGTGACCTGTACAGCAACACAGAGACCAACACAACACACCTGAGAGGTCAAGTAGAAACCAGGTACCATTTACTTCAATTGTTTATAATCATGTGCAGGCTAGAGCTAGTCTAGCAGTAAAATATTGCAACATTTTCTTAAATTTTTATTTAAACATAGCAAGAACTTTTATTTTTATTCTAGAAAAATTTATTTTTTTAAAGTGTTGTTTTTCAATATATTGAAAAGTTACCTATTGTTTATAATGTATTTTATTATTTTATTTGTGCCTGCCTTGCTCAAATTGGTAAGCAAAATAAAATATTAGTTTCCTAGTTATTACTTAACCGTAATGAAATCTGTGGTCAAACTATTTCAGATTAGCAGAGTTAAGAGATGTCATTATGGAGATGAGGACCAGACAGGAACAGGAAGCGAATGAGAGACGTGGCCTGGAGCAGCAGGTTCAGCAAAAGTAAATATTTACCTTGTGAAATTACTGAAACAAAACTCATTACATAGATTTGATCTATTTGGTGATTAAAGTTTACATTAATTAAATAGGCCTAATCTACAAGAATATTTTTTTTTAAATATAAGGAAATAACTTTTTACAATGAAAGTGTTTATTTTTTATGTTGTTGAGAATAAGAAGTAGAAGATATAAGTTTTTTTTAATAAAAGTTTAAACTTCTTACTATTACAAATGAGAGTAAGTGGGGCAGATAATGAGACTGAACTAGCTTCATAAAATGTTATTTCTATAACAGTGTTGCTATTTTCTTAATTCCTACATCACATAGGAAAAAATCACTATTACAAAATTTATTTTAATTTTTTTATCTCAATTGGTCCCAGAGTTTCTTCCAGGCATCTCTTCGGGGGTCAAAGACCCCCCCCCCCCCCCAAAAAAAAAGTATACCCCCCCCCCCCCTGAACGAAATAGCAAAATTTCAAGTGCCCCCCCCCCCCCCCCACCCGTCCAGAGGAAAAAGTCTGGAAGAAACACTGATTGGTCCTTTCACTTTTAACACTAACACCCCTTCTTTTGACTGTCTTTAAAGAAATAGACACTTCCTTTTTTCTGAATTAAAAGTCGAACAAGTGCTCTAGCATACAAAGAACTCTTTGAACTGAATCCATTATGTCCACCTCTAGAATCAACATGCTGCAAGAGAACTTGTCAGAACAGAACCGCAAGAGGGAGGAGGCCATGCACGCCATGGACATGATACAGAGGGAGAAGGAGCACCTTTCTGAGAATGAGAAGATCAAGCTGCAGGGGAGGATAACTGAGTCGGTGGACGAGGTCAACAAGAGGCTGCTCACCAAAGAGATTAAGCTCAGGGAGGAGCTGCAGGATAAATACAAACAAATGGAGAGGGTGAGCGATAATTAATGAGCTTAAGCCAATTACTCTGATAGGACATGTGGAGTTGGTTGGTAATTATTTAACTTAGCCATTTAGGATGGAAGTACCCTATTGAACCTGACAGGTGAAGTAGCATTCACCTGTTTCAGCATATGATGGAATAGTGTCAGAGGCGTAGCGAGGGGGGGCGGGGGGGGACATATGTCCCTGGGCGCCGACCTTAGGGGGGCGCGCCAAACTGAAAGTTTGAAGGGGGGGTGCAAATCGAAAGTTTGAGGGGGGGGGGTGCAAATCGAAAGTTTGAGGGGGGGTGCAAATGAAAAGTTCAAGGGGGGGGGGGGGGGGTGCAAATTGAAAATTTGCTCCTGAGGGGGGCGCCAAATTGAAAGTATGTCCCCGGGCACCGGGAAGGGTCGCTACGCCTCTGAATAGTGTGGTCAGCTATGCTCAGCTACCTTTGCTTTCCCTATTGTGAATGAGGTACCCATCAGAGCTGGGTGGACTCAGTGACATCCTATGAACCTAGGCCTAGGTTTTGAACTTGAGGCTTTCAGGTTAGCAATCATATGCTCTACCATCCTATCAGATCATGCCCTGACATGTGGAGAGAGCCTAGAGTAATTAGTTACCTTAAACCAATGAGGACTAATGGAGCTAGCCTGTTAACCCATGATGCTTTTAGTTTTAAACACTTTTATTTAACTGTTTGTTATGACAGTAAATTCTGCAAAAACAGCAAGGGAAATAGCTTGTAAGCTGTATGCTTGCTTTGATTAGTTAATTAATTAAATAATTGATTTTTTGTGATAGTTAATTCTTCAAGAACAACAGGTGAACTAGCTTGTTAGTGATGTGCTTCATTTTATTAATTAATTGTTCGTTGTGGCAGTTAATTCTAAACAAGAAAACTAAATAATTAATTAATTGTTTTTTGTGGCAGTTAATTATAAACAATAAAACTAAATAATTAATTAATTCTTTGTTGTGGAAGTTAATTCTAAACAATAAAACTAAATAATTAATTAATTGTTTTTTGTGGCAGTTAATTATAAACAATAAAACTAAATAATTAATTAATTCTTTGTTGTGGCAGTTAATTCTAAACAAGAAGACTAATTAATTAATTAATTGTTTGTTGTGGCAGTTAATTCTCCAAGAACAGCAAGAAAACTAATTAATTAACTAATTGTTTGTTTTGGCAGTTAATTCTAAACAAGAAAACTAAATAATTAATTAATTGTTTGTTGTGGCAGTTAATTCTCCAAGAACAACAAGAAAACTAATTAATTAATTAATTGTTTATAGTGGCAGTTAATTCTCCAAGAACAATAAGAAAACTAATTAATTAATTAATTGTTTGTTTTGGCAGTTAATTCTCCAAAAACAACAACATAACTAATTAATTGTTTGTTTTGGCAGTTAATTCTCCAAGAACAGCAAGTCAGACAGAAGTACGAGACCACTGTCAGGGAGGAGAATGAGAAAAAATGGCAGGTGCTGAAGAAACTGAGTGATGAGGAACTTGCGACAATACGTGATACGTTTCAGGTACAGATTGTATGCATATCATCCTTATATTAGTGGCACATTTGATTGAATTTTTATGTTACCTATGTGTATCAGTGGCTTATTTGAATGAATGTATGTTATTTAGTCCTAGTGCTGGTAGTGTATGAATGTGTATTAATTCTTTGTATTAGTAGCATATTTGAATGAATGTATGTTATTTAGTCCTAGTGCTGGTAGTGTTCTTAAATGAATGTGTATTAATTCTTTGTATTAGTAGCATATTTGAATGAATGTATGATGTTTAGTCCTTGTATTCTTGGCATTTCTGAATTTTAAAAGTTATTAACTTATCCATTTTACAGCTGAAATATTATTGGCCTTAACTCAAAATAAGTCTGCTTTTGCTTTTATAAATGTTTTTGCTTAAGTATGGCATTGTCCTCAATGTTAAAACATAAATTTGAATATAAATCTTTATTGCTTAAAATTATATATTCCCTAAAAAGAGAAAAGCCTCATTATTCTTTTAGAACTATAAAGTCCTTTTATAAACTTTTACAGTATTTGTTTTTTTAATTCTAAACTCAGATGGAGAGACAGAAAAACAGAGAAGCAATTCAAAAATTAGACGAGTCAATAGGCCTTATAGAGAAACAGCTGACAGAGCAGAAGAAACAAACAGACAAAGTTGTTGCAGCTGAGATTCATTCACGGTGAGTCCTTGCATCAAAGATACAAACATTACAGACGTTAGACAAGTCGTATTTACCTAACACCAAGGATGAAAAAAAATTTTACTACTAGTTTTTACTATTAATTTTTGAAGTCACTGGGCCTAAGCAACTACCACTTTCATTTAGATACAATCTCAACAAATTGACTGCTACTGTTTAGTCATTTACAAGTCGCCATTGAACTATTGCTTTTGAAATGACATGTATCTACTGATATAGCAAGTGTTGTTGTCTTAAATCTGCTAATCGCTAATCACTTATTAATCCTTCACATGCAATATTCACCCTAAACACAGACCTTAAAAAAATTCTCGCGTTCTGTCTAATAAAAAAAATTCTTCAACCAATGCAAGAATAACGTTTGTGTATTTTATCATAAATTGTTTTAAAAATTATTATTTTTCTGTTAAAAACTTTAAAAATTGATGAAAGTTTAAACTATTTTTTTCTTAGAAAACAGCATGAAAAATCAACAAACGAAAAGCTGGACCATCTAAATGAAAAACTTTCAGTAGCAGCCAGCTCACTGCAGACCGCTATTGGGGGTGTAACAGGCAACTTTGCATTTCATACTGACAAGGTATTGTCACAGTACATAAATAGTTTGATTAATAAAGCTAAAATTACATTTGATCAAACTTTGATGATTTACTTTGTATTTTTTATGTATTTCATACGGACAAGGTATCATTATAGATCATGTATAGTTTGTTGAATGGAACAAATTGTAATTGTTTATACTTTAAATGTTTGCTTTTTTTTTTTTTAAATTTTAAATGTCAAATTATTTTTAAAAAATGCAATATATTAGTATTAGTTAATTAAAATAAAATACTCTTTGAAAACAAATGGGTTGTGGGGCCAGTGTGTTGTTATGTTCTCTGCTTGTTAGGGATTGTTTGATCAGCATTGTGCCCAACCACCTTGACTCCTTGACCATCTGTTAGAGCTGGATTGACATGGATGTTCTTTAGACCCAAGCCTTGGCTCTAAGCCTTTGACTCTCTTTTTAGCAATTAAGTGTGCAATATGCCATCCATAACTTAACATACTAACTGTTGATACCAGTTCACTTAGAATTGTCCAAAATTTGAATTCAACATTTTGTGTCCCCCACAGCTGAGGAACGAGATGAAATCTGTTTTAGCAGCCTCAGAGCAGGCAACCACACGTGCTGTGACTGACCTTGATGCCAGAGTTCAAAGTTTAAAGCAGAAGGTCAACGGCCTTGAGCAGCACTTGGATGGGAGAATCTCAGAGGTAAATTTTAAAAATACATCTCAAAAGAAAGTTTCAAATAAACTGTCCATCTAGCAAAATCTGCATCATAGCAACCGTTGATAAAAGTTATTATATACCTAAATGTGTTTATTAATATAAGCATCTGAATCTAACATTTGCCTCCTACTATGATGAAAAGTGTGCAACCAAAATTAATATCCTTGTATATAACGATGCATCTTAGTTTAAATCATTTTAAGTGTACAAAATTATGCATGTTGTATACAAAACTTAGGCCTATATTTTCTAGTATATGTGCAATTTTTATGAAACAGTATATATTGCTATTTTACTAATAAAACAAGGTTTGATATTATTGTTTTACTAAGAAAAAAAGCTTAGACTAATATTAGTTTTACTATTTGATTAACAGCTTGGCTTAAGCATAGCTATGCATATAAAATATGTTAGTATCATAAATAACAATAACTTAGTTATACATGCTCTTTTCCTTGTAATAACATAAAATATTGTTATAACATGACTAACAATAATTCACTTATACAGGCTCTATTTCTTGTATCAAACCCAGAGGTATATAAGTCTGGTGGCTTTATTTTATATTTTTTTTTACTACTCTTTTAAAATTTTAAGTATTGTGATTTTTTTCTATTTTCACATTAGAAAATTTGTAAAAAAAAAAAAAAAAAAAAAAGTAAGCTTACTGTGAATTTGTTTTTATAATAGACAACACTTTACAAACTAAATTGTTTTGGATAATCATTTTTTATTTTTGGATTTTATAATACCATTTTTAAAAATAAGGAATATTTCAGTAGAACTAACCCTGTTTTTCACATCTTTAAAGAATTTTAAATTGTTACATTGAGCTACTTTTTAGAAAAGGAATTATTATTATTTTTTAGTAGAAACGGTTACATTAGTAGCAGATCCTTTCTCATTCTCCTACCTTTATTTCTATTTTACCTTTCAATAATCGTCATATTTCTTTGTGTTTCATCTCTAAATCATTGTCATATTTTGATTTTTATATATGACTGATTGTCTTATTTGTTTTTTCTTTGAAAAATTAAATGTTTTTATTTCAAAATTTTTACCACATGTAGCAAAATGTTTAGCAATTTCTATCACCAATGTCTCAGCAAAACGTATAAATATTTCTTAACCAAACCATAAGAAAACTTTATATTAGGCAATGCACATGGAAATAATTATTTATAAGTATATTTAACTTTCATCCAATTTTCAGTTGTTTCACATAAACAAAAAAATAATTATAAAATTTTATATTAAGTGAACTATATAAACAAATAATTATATCCCTTAAGTGGTTGACGTGTTTTAAATATTGTATACATCTGTGTTATTTACAATTATATTCATTAATTTATGTTTTATCTTTATGTTAATTTGTTTCTTCCTATTGTAATAAAAAGTGTTATTTTTTTTTTTTTGGTTTATCCGATCAGTAAATATAATGAATTAATACAGCTTAAAAATCTGAAATTCTCAATAAATACTGATGACTGTAATTAAACTTAAAAATTTAGAACATCAGTTTTTGTTTTTATTCTACGAAAGTATAGACCACAATTTTATTAAATTTTATCTAGATAGTTATAAATCTTTTAACAAAGATTCTACCATAATGTTTTAGCCATTAAAAAAACAATGTGTTACTATATAATCATTGGCAATTAGTATTTGTGTGTTCTTAGCTCCTGCATATCTAAATGTAATTGGACCAGTAATACCACACCATACCTACAAAATTAAGGGTTTAACGTTTAGGCCTATATAGTTTTCTAGTTAAATAAGTCTAACCAACAAAAATTGTCAGGTAATTAGTATTTGTCCACTATAAAGTTTTAATTTCTGACTTGATTTATTCTCTGCTGCCCCAGGCCTTGGAATTAATTGAGGTAAAATTAAAACCACATGAGATTAATTTACCTGGCATTGTATTCAAATTGTTTAACATGAATAAAATAAGCTAATCAACTAATTATATATGTATATGTATATGTATACATATAAATGTATTAAAATCTGTGCTGTACTGTAATGACATATTTTTAACTAACCACTAATCTAGAATTACAAAACATATCAGCTTTTATAATTACTACTAATATTACAGTTTGCTTTTTGTAGCTGACGAATTGTGTCTAATATTCCCTCCAAAACATAAATATATTAATGATCTTTTACTGAAGAGATATAGATCATTGTTATATTTATGTCTATTTCTGTTGAGTAAAAGATCTATACTAAGTTGGTGTCTGTTTACTCTACAGGCTACAGCCATCCTGGCCCAAAACCTGAGGGAAAAAGTTGAGTCCATCTCACTGTGGCAGGATGTGACGAGCCAGACCATCAGAGAACTTAACCAGAGCATACAGGGGCTCCCTAATGAGGTGAGATTAATCAATACATGCTAATGTTTTTTTTTTACTTTTATTCTTTTTTTTTATTGTTTTACATATCTCTAGCATATTATAATATTGTTTAAGTCTTGGCATAATTAAAATGTTTAGAACTCTTGTTCAATTATTTAAGAATTCTCATTAGTCATGCTCAGTGGTATATCTAGCAGAGAAGGGTTAATTGTTCATTCAAGCAGAGTTATCTGTTCATTAGCACAGTTATTTAATCATTTGAGCAGAGTAATCTGCTCTTTTATCAGCTTGGCATGAAAGATTTGCATTCAGCAGAGAATAGAAAATGAGCTTTTATTCTTCATCTCTCACTACAGTTTCATATGTTTGATGTGGAACTCATTAACATATGAAAATGTAAAATTCTACAGTGAGGAAAAATCAGAGTGAAAACCCTTGGTTGGGTGGGATTGTTAGCTACTTTTCTAGCATATTGATTGAGTGTTATAGGCCAGGGGTCGGCAACCTGCGGCTCGCGAGCCGCATGCGGCTCTTTTGATATCAAGATGCGGCTCTCCAGCTCCTTGCACAAATACTAATAATCTTAATAAAAAAGTAAAATATTTGAATTAAAAATAATGTTAGTGGCTCTTCAAAACCACGGAAATTTTTAAAATTGTAACTTTTGGCTCTTCCGTCTCAAAAGGTTGCCGACCCCTGTTATAGGCCTATATTGACTCATCTAAGCTTGTTTTTTTCTATATGAATATGACATTTAGAAGTAAAAACTATACATTTTAATACCTGTTTATGAAAAATAATATATTTTTGGGTTTGGTGTATTTGGTGGTTGTTTTTTTTTTTTTTTTCTTTTTTTTTTTAATGTTTCAGGTTACCAAACGATTTGCTAAGTATGGTTTAATTAATTTGAATTTTAAACTGTGCATTTTATGCTGAAAAATAAAATCCTATTCAAATTATTTCATTTAGATCTATGCAATAGAAGAAAAACAAAAACAGCTCAAGTCTGATATGGATTCTAGACTTATGATGGAGTCTGAAGCCAGGTATGGCATTGTCTAGCTAACATACATTCTGTTGCTACTGTAGAAACGTTAATTCTTAAATCTCAAGAATTGACCATTACAAAAATACAAAAAGTAAGGTTGTCCTTTTGGTCCTGATGGTCAGTAGGGTTCGATCTATCTACTACATTTTTTTGTCATATTCAGCTTTACTAGACATGTAAGCAAAGTTCATCTGTTACTGTAGCATCTAAAGTGTTAGTGTGGTCAGTTCTATGCCCAGCCACCTTTATTTTTTTCTAACTTGAGTCACAAACACATCAGAGCTATGCGAACTAATGTTCCCATAGACTTGAATCAGGGATCTAAACTTGAGACATTTGGATTATCAGTTGTTTGCTCTACTTCTCAGCCACATTGCCTCAAAACATATATAAACTATGTGTTAATTTTCTACCTTTACAACAAAATTTTATTTTAGATTTTATTTTGGTTAAGTCAGTTCCTTAAACCTAAAAAGAAAATATAATTAATACTTAAAATCATTTTAAAAACATTAAATTTTTCTGAGACAGAATTCGTGAAATTGAGTCCTTGAAACACGAGCTCAGCCAGCTGAAAAACAAGAAAGCCCCACAAGGAGCAACTGCTGAGGAAATGCAAGAAGTAAATACTTTTTATACTGCTAATACTGCTATATAAATTCTTAATTTTATAGTTATGTTAAAGGGAGTGAAACCTTGCACAGGGGAAGTAATAAAAAAAAAACTTCTCTTAACATTCTGAATCCTTCTCAGGTTCAGGCGTCCATTAGAAAACTAGCTGAGTCAGTGCAGACAGTGAAAACAGTGATAGGTATGAAGCTACAAGCTGAAGAGAAGAAAGTAAGTTTTAGTTGAGCTAATCGTAGAAACAAAAACAATCTTTTATTTTGTCGTTTTGAATTGATTTATTTCTCACTTTAAAACTATTTGTGTAGAGATGTTTTGTTACAAGTTCTTGTTTTTATATTGCTTGTATTGTTTGCTTATAATTGTCATCATTTTGCAAATATTTATATTTTAAACACAATTAGTTTTTACTTTTGAAGATTTAGTAGATAAAAAATTTATTAGATTTTTTTTAAAGTAATACATATTCTGATTCTTATTTAAATATCAATTTTGCCAACTTGCATAAAAAAAATTTAGAAATTTTATTTTTAGAGCCTTTTTCATTTTGGTCTTCCATAAATGTTGTCTTGCAATTTGAGTTTATTTAGACTCAACTTCCCCCAAATTCCCACAAAAAGTGAACCCCACTTCCCCAAATGTTTGAACTCTACTTCCCTCACATTCCCACAAAAAAGTAAACCCCACTTCCCCAAAATGTTTGAACCCTATTTCCCCCACATTCCCACAAAAAAGTAAACCCCACTTCCCCAAAATGTTTGAACCCTATTTCTCCCATATTCCCACAAAAGGTTGAACCCCATTTCCTTAACATTTCCACAAAACAAAAATGTGAACCCCACCTCCCCCTAATTCCCACAACAGTTTTAATTCCTCCCCCATCTAAAATTGTGAGATCGCTCATGCATGACCTCCATCATTCACTTAACCTGTTGGTGTCTACAGCGTGAAACAGGCTACGAAGATCTCCAGTACCAAATTAATAGACTAAAAACCCAACTTGCCCATTCCTTAAGACTGACAGCATTAAGCACTGACCTTGACCCAGCAGAGCTGGAACAACTCTGGCAGCAAGATTTGACCAAGACCATTCCGCTCGGCCAAGGTAAAAATGTAAATGCCAGAAATGACACGGCCGGACAGCCGAGCTTCTCTAGGTCCAGAAAACCTGCAGGTGGACCCAGGTCTAAAAATCAAGAGGAAGAACAGGCGGACTGGGATCTCTTGAGTTCTATTGCCTTCCAGTCACATGACCCAGAGATGGATGAGGGTCAAGGTCATGAAAAGAATGATGACAGCAACACACATGAGAAGCTAAAAGGTCAAGTTAACGCGTCTGACTGGGATGATGGCCCAAATGATGTCACAGAAGCTGAGGGCAATGGCCCCACAAATTCAGATCATGGTGATAATAAATACGCAGAAAATGATGAGCATTGAACAAAGAATGCGTTAGTGATGATGTCATTTTGTTCAGGTAGAAAGACTATGCTGGAGTGTGAAGCCAAATATTTTAACCCTAACCCTGAGTGCAAGGATTAAAGCTTGGGATATTTATAGCATCTGTGTGGCGCAGCTGATCATACCACCCTTTAGCTCATAAACCTGCACTTTGTGTGTTCTTATCCTCAGTTTTATTACATTGTTTTTATAAATACATTTTTTAAAAGTTATTAACTACTATTAAAAATACAGTATTATAAACTGCAATGATTCAATAGTAAATCAGAAATATTTAAGCCTTGATTATTTAAAGATGTATGGCTCAAAGTACAGCAAAAAATTAATTTTTAATTTTTAATGTAAATATAGTTTTAAATTTTGTTTTAATTACAATAAATAAGTGTTAAAATAATTGTGTTCAATCCATACAAATAGTTATCACAAGCTATTTTAACATCAAAGAATGCAACTATACCTGGCAACCCCACAGCTACCTTTTATCATATTGTTCTTGCCTCCACCATTTGAAATGAGGCCTGTAGTTTGCCTGTTATTTTGTACTGTGAATGTAACCATCTTGTTTTGGCAGCTTTAATAATATCAGCCTTCTACTAGTGTGTGCTTTCTATCTTTTATCTATCCCTCAACATAAAAACTCTCTCCATAGCAACTGAAAGCTTCTTCCCAGTAGCATTAGCCACAAACATTAACTTTTTTTTATAGCTGAGTTACTTAACTGCTGATGAGTTAAATTAATTATTTTCTTAGCCTACTTCTGAAACAAAAAAATGTTTTAAAATTTTTAATTAATAATTTAATATTTAGTGGAAAAAATATTTTAGAATGATTCCCAGAGTTTAAATTTATTTTTATGGTTTGTTGTTATATTAGGACTTCTTAATTGACTTGATTAACTATGTTAAAAAAAAATGTAAGAATATTTTAAACTGGCAAATGTAGAAGAAAATTTAATAAACCAATGGTGTTTTTTTTACACAATCTATTAAGTTTTAATTGAGAAAAATTGTATTTACTAGAAGAGAATTTGAGAACGCAGCTAGTAAGTTAAGATGTAAATATTGTATTTATTGTGTGCTGGTTTTTAAAAACTGTTATTACTATTCAAATTATTGGTATGTTGAAGTGTAAATAAAGAGATCACACAAACCTACTTTATTTAGACACTGTTAAAATTATTAGAGTTATATTACATAATAATTTATAGCTTTATAGTTATTACATCTAATGATAAAATAATATAATTTATATAATTATATATATAAATATACATAAATATATATAAATATATATTTATATATATTTATATATACAAATTTTAATTGCATTTGGATAAAAAAATTACAATTTTTGCAGTTTCATAGTTAGCTTCAAAGATATAGTGATTTAATATAATTTACACTCTTTAAATCAAATACCTACCTAAAATTAAATTCCTGTGGTTTAACTTATCTTAACCTGTATTTTCAGCGGACCAGTGATGTTGATAAACTCCAGGACGAGATAGACAAACTCAAAAGCAAGGTTGGATCAAGTGCTTCTAACAAGCCAAACCCAAAAAATAATGACAATAGCAATGACCCAGATGATGATAGGAGGTAATGTTTTCCATGAAATTACAGATGGATTCTCTCCCCTTTGTCAACCCATTTTTACTTCCCTTTTGCCTAAACAGTAATCCTGCCTTGGTGATGTAAGCCAAAACTAAATTAAATAGATTTATCCATATTATTTTTCAAAGTTTTTTTTAAAGAACTTTACAACATAATTTTGTAAAACCTAATTTAATTTATATTTTTTAACTCCATTACAACCTATAACGCTTAGGCATCATTTTTACCTAATTATGTAGCAAAAATTGTTAATCATTTCATTCTTTTATGTGCTTGTTTAATTAGCTAATAAATCTAGTTTAATTAGCTTGTAAATTTTTGTTATGTATCCCTTTTGAGTTGTAAAAAAGTGTTCATGAGTCCTTAATGCTAAATTACCATGTTTGAATGTTGTCTTGTTTAAATTTAACATTGAACCTCATGCTACAAAAATAAATTTAAATTTGTAAAAAGCAGAACATTTTCATATTCTTATAAAACTAAGTTTTAATGGAATAAATAACATGTAAAGAGTTTTATTAACTTTTTAACAAATACAATCAAACAAGGCCCAATAATGGTCAAGATCTGTGATATTTTTACAATATTTATTTGTTTATATTTTAGTCTGTAAAAATGCAATTTAAAAAATGTATGTTAGATAAGCAATTGTTTCCATGGAGGACTCACATAAAAAGCCTTCCAGGCAACCTTTCGTAAACACATCACTTGTTTAAATTGTCTTTTTTTTTAATTTCCTGACTTGATAATAGTTTTTTAAAAGATATAATCTTACTGTGAATAGTCTATACATAATATCAAGATAGAGAAGGAAGTAAATATAAAAAAAAACATTTTTTTTTATTGTCACTGGCTAGAATTCCTTAGAGTATGTTTTATTTTTTAACACTCTTAAATGTTAAATAATATTAGCTTCAAAACAGTTAAGCTCAATAATGCCAAAACTAATACTGCTGATGCAACTCAAAAAACTAATATTTAAATTTAACATATTTGTTTGAAGTGCCAAAAGTAAAATATCAAATTACCGATCAATTTAAAAAACTTTAAAAGCTGCTCAGGAAGAGTTTTAAGTCTACAGCCTGATAAAGCAATCTTCCCTTGACACACATTTTTTACTGTCAACAAAATTGTTTCCTGTTTACCATATGAAATATTTTTTTATTATAAATTTAAAAAATAAAGATAGATTTAGTTTGAACTAGTTAATGTAAAGTTTGAATTTAAAATTATGTTTTAAAATTATTTTTTTTATAATTATTATACACATGTAAGAATTCCATGTGTTAATATTTTAATATGAAAAAAACCTGCTATAAAAAATGTAACTATTGATTGAATTTTTAATTGTTTCATAGTGTTTAAGTTACCTACATTTTTATTGTAAACCAACATCCCCCCACCTCCCTTGTGTTTTAGGCAAGTGGTAGTTTATATTTTTTCTTCTTCCACAATGTTACATAATGATTGCATTCAATATTTATTTCATTGTAGTCTTAAGATTACTTTTTAGTTGTATATTCCTAGAAAGAAATTTTAATTACTGTATGGTCACATAGGCCTGTTCTTGAAGTTTATTGTAAAAATCATTATTGATCAGTTAATCTAGATAGCTTATTAATTAATTAAAATTATTATTATTAAATCAAATCTACAATATCAGCACAAATAATACTACATATTTTTTTTTATATTTTACAATTAAAATATTATTAAATTAGTTATTCAAATCATAGGTGAGAAATAATATTCAAATTACTTTTGTTTGGTCTGAAAATCGGTATATTATTTTCATAATTTATACCAAAATAATACTGGATTGTTAGGCCTATCCGAAAACTATCTAGTTTGCTTTATTTTTATTTTTAGCGGCCTCCATCAATGACACTACTGTTGCTTTGGGTGGAACAATTTTCCTTCTTATCTCCCTTTACTTTTGCCTCAGACTGTTACACTACCCCCCCCCCCCCCCTTTTCCTCCTTCTCCACCCACACCCACACCCCCCACTCCGCTTTTTAAACACCGCACGCATACTTTTGAATTTGTAATGAGTGTATCATTGGATTTGTAAAGTCGTTGAACCAAATTTTAACTTAAAAAGAAAAATGAAGCAGGCTAATCTATTGAAAAAAAGTAGACCCATTTGAAGAAGCGGATCGTTTTCAATACCTGTCTCCATGGAGATAGATGCATACATATTATGAGGCTTGGTTTCACTGATGTTAAGTTGGCTAATCATGGATTCAAGGACTAGCGGATGTCTTAGAGGCGAATTGGTTACCGAGGATAACTTTGCTAGAGGGATTGAAATAGTTATGAAATAATCATCAGTTCTAATAGATCATGCACTAAAGCTACACATTTGCAAAACGTATCTGGTGCTTTAAATAAAATAGGAAGCAACAAAACTGTAGTTTGATGTTGTTTTTTAAACCTGTGGGGTCGTCTGTAAATGACGTCAAAATTTAATGGAGGATGGGGGGTCGGATTTTTATAACGATGTGTGTGGTTGGGGTTGCGGGTAAAATGTGACGTCACACTATTGGATTTTAATTTTTTTTACTTCATTTTAGAATTTATTTTTGTATTTATAAAAGAATCACGTAAATTATAATTTAAAACAGGTCAAAGCAATAATATTAAACCAACGCAGTTAATGCTTAATTCTTATAACAAATTCCGGTTTCTAAAAATACATATTGCTATTTTCTGAGGAAAATAAGCTGAAGTGTGACGTAATGTTAATTGTCTATCGATGTGGAGGGGCTTGGTAGGGAAACATCGTCATAAATCATGACGTCATTTAGTTATTTTTTAAAAAGAAAATAACGTGTTGGCGCTATCAAGTTGATGTGTTTACGCCTACATTTGTGTAAAATGAGTTAACTGAAGTTGGCTCACTCTTCTTCCCGCTCAACTAAACCATTCACACATCACCTGTAATCAGAGGCATAGCGAGGGGGGGGGGAGGTACATATGTCCCCGGGCGCCGACCTTAGGGGGCGCCAAAATGGGTTGGAAAAACAAATTAAAATCTCATTTTAGCTGCAGTTTTGCATTATAAATATAAAAAAATATATGGGGGGGGGGGGGTAAAAATTAAAAGTTTGGGGGTGGGGCGTGAAGGGTCGCTACGCCTCTGCCTGTAATATCCCCGCACAACAAAACCATTCACACATCGCCTGTCGTATCCCATCTCCTTTATTCCACCCCTGACAACGTGGCATCATTTATAGAAGCCGCCTTAGACCACACGACTTTGTTATTTTTTTTTAAAAATAGTTGTCTGGTTTTTCCTAGGCTTTAAAGTGTTTAGTATGACCAAGTTATTTTTAGCTTCAACCGGATATGCCTTATATGTTTAAAAACTTTTCAAATGATTGATAAAGGGAGAGCATTCCTAAATGTACTGCTGATTTTATAAACGACATATATATATATATATATATATATATATATATATATATATATATATACTTGCTGTACGCTACACTAAATTGTTACAAGTGTTATTGTTAGAATTACTATATGCACTATGTACATACAATTTTTATAATGGCACTTATTATGGTAGGCCAGATTTTCTCAAAGATAAAAAAAAAATGATTATACAGTTAAAATAAACTTCATATTTTATGTGTTTGTTTCCTTATTATGTTCAGACTACCCACTTCCCTCCCCAATTCTGCTTTACTCGTTGGAATTTGATGTCTCATTTTTTTAAATAAAATTGTTTATGTTAAATTGGGCGTTATTTGGGCTCCCAATCGTTCACGACAAGCCGATAAAGGTCAAGCGTCTAATGATAACTGAAGGAACGACAGACTGACGCACTACCTAGCGTAAGATGTTATTGTTACTGACACACAATTGCACTCGGCCTAGACAAGAAAATCTGTGCCAGTGAACTCTTTCTTTTAATAGAGGAAGACAAAAAAAAACTGCAAAGACGGACGAGTGATGCGCGCGTCTGTTGCCAGGGGCAACCAATGCAAATAAAATAAAATAAAAAAGATTTGTTTTGTGTGTCCTGCTTATTGTGGTTATCTCCCCCTCCCTGAGTGTAAATTTTGTTTTGTTGACGTCAAATTGGTTTATCTGTTGGCTGATTCCTGTTCTGTTTCGTTTTCCTTTTTGGTTAAAATCCACACAATGGTGAGTTCATGTTTTTTACCTCCCTTTTTGTCTCGTGTTTATATAAACAAGATTGCTTACAAAAAGCGATCAGAAGGGTAAAAAAAAAATGTCCATTTGTTTGCTTTTAGAACAAAACATTAAAATGGAGAAAGATACATTGCCGAGAAGAGTACAGTTGTAAGAATGGGGTGAAGGTCGCTAATAAAAATACTTCACAATTATCCCTACGCCCAGACTCCCCCCCCCCCCCCCCCCCCAACAAAAAACCAGTACATGGAAAATTTAAGCTGTTTCTGGTTATTCTTTACCCTAGTAAGTGCTACAACCTTGTTCCACCCCTCCCTTATGTAGCACATCGTAACAAATACCCACCCCCTCCCCTCCCACAGATCATTCAATATTACACCAAAACCTCAACGATGTACTTACAGGCTAGAAAAGTATCGTGTTCTACTAGAAAATTCGAGGGGTAGGGAGGCGGGGTAGTATGTTAGCTCTTCAGATGGATCAAACTTTCTAAGACAAAGTAATGGGGACATAACATACAGGTAGGTTTCTCTATACTTCAGTCGGTGAACTCTATACATGTAGGTGTGGGTGTACGTGATGACCTATTCCAACAACACAAACCTTCGGATTGTGATTTTTTTTTATTATTTTTTTATTTTGTGTTCCTGGTATTTCTAGTCATTCGTTTCTGTTCTAATTATTATCTTCCCTTGCTTGTTTAATTTAGTAGGCTTCGTGATAATTTAAACACCGTGGTAAGTTATCAAAGAAAGACGTGCCACAGCATACTGGGTTCTATTAGTTGTACCGTTGATGTCACCCAGTGATAAGATAGCAAATCACGAGGTTAGTATCTGGGATAGAGACCATAAGCCCCCCCCCCCCCCCCCATCACCACCAAATCCAAACTAGGTGCCGTGATATTTTTAAGAAAGAAGAAAACATCAGAAGGAAACTCACGGTATTCGCAGCTAATATCTGTGGGGTAGGAAACGCTCGATTTCTTCATCCTCTTGCAGTCTGCCTATCGTAAGGAAGAGGGGGAGTTCACCAAATAGAACTGTCCTCAGCCCATCACCTAATGCTAATCATAACTCTAATTTAATCGTCAAGACCTAGAATCGTGTTTCTACACTACGAGTCACTACATCGCATGCTTAGGGGTCATCCATAAATGACGTCACGCTTTTTTAAAAACTATTTTTACCACCCCCTCCCCTCAGTCACACGTCGTCACAAAAAGCCATACAACCCCCCCCCCCTCAAAATTCAAAATATCGATATTTTCCCAAAATCGCCAAAACTCTGTTAACATAGAGTATTTTGATCAATTCCTATTGCAATTTATTAAAACCGTTTTCTAAAACGCGAAATAACGGCTAAAACTCGTTTTCTAAAATTGCATTTTTATAATGCAAAAAAGTGACGTCACACCATCTGAACCCCTCACCACTCACCGTCACAAAATTACGGACCCCCCTCCCCTCTACGAGTGTGACGTCATTTATGGACGAAACCTTACCTATACAAATAGTGCATACATTAAAGCAACTTTTTTTGTGTGTATCTCTCCACAGGACTAAAGACAAGCCGCGAAGGGTTGGAGGAGGGTACGCCTACTAGCCTGCATGCCCTGTTTTAATTAACTGCTGATTGTTAATTATGTTGATTATGTCTGGTACACATCGTCTAGGTCACACACAGAGCGGGGTGGGTGAGTGCGGTTACCGAGTTAGCTCCCTATCGAGCTAAAGGGCGAGGGTGGTCTACCCAGGGGCGGCGACTTGAAAAGATACATCACAGTGACAAGTTAGTTTCGAGTTTCATCACTGAAGTTTATAGGCAGATTTAAGTAAAAATACAAAGTTTCTTTACATGATGTTCTTTGAATATTCTCATCATTCATTTAATGGCAGCATAGAAGATTATCCTACTTTTCAGACAGTAATGTTAATGATTAGATTATTAGATTATTAGATTATACTATTAAAATAAAAAATACTAGAAAAAGGCAAGGGAGTGGAAGCATTTTCGAAACGAAGCTTATTTTTTTCCATGGTCGGGTGTGTAAAAAAGATATGTGAAGTAGGCCTACAGAAAAAACAGCATTAGTAAATATGTAATTGTTTACATATGTTTGTTCTGTCGGAAGGTTAATGAGTGAGGTTTATCTTGTTTCTATATACACATGGTACGCCTTTCTCTCCCTCTCTTGTGTATGAGGCCATTTCCGGTCGAAGCTTTTGGTCATTAGCTAGGAACAGGATGATAAATCTAGCACTTCGCCCACCCATGTAGCTACACATGGGGGCTCCGTGTCAAACCTGGGCTCCGAACTCGCGACTTTCCGGTAAGGAAGCTCGCGGTCTACCGTTTTAGATATGACAGAGGTAGCTCGAGATGACAAGACATGTGTAGTCTGTCCAGACATGAGTCTGACATGACATGTGTAGTCTGTCCAGACATGACATGACATGTGTAGTCTGTCCAGACATGACATGACATGTGTAGTCTGACATGACATGACATGTGTAGTCTGACATGACATGACACGTGTAGTCTGACATGACATGGGTAGTCTGTCCAGACATGACATGATATGTGTAGTCTTACATGACATGACATGTACAGCTGAATGACAGGAATCGCCCAGCATGATATTACAAGCATAATAATCATTTCACTTGACATTGTATGCGTTGCTCACCATTCGGATGACATGTAGATCCCCCCTATGAAATGCGTCCTATCTAATGACCCAATTACACCGTGTATAATAAGTTAGGTTGGTATTCACCAAACCACCCCCACCTCTTCCTCTTAGCATCATAAGCTTGCGCATCCATCTATATAATAGAAAACATTCAATGGAAATGGATCTATCTCCATGTTTTCATGTCACTTTGTTAGCAGCTACGCTACAAATGCATCTTATGCTAGCTCTGAAACCAGGGCAGACGATTCATCATCAGTAATTCAGGGCATCTTTTTGTGCACAGTTCGTTAGCCTCATATGTGAATTCACACAAGCCATTTTCATACTTACCGTGGTTTGTTCAGCATTTCAATAGTTCTCTTTAGCAATGGATGCAGACATTTAAAAAAAAAGAGAGAGAATTTATCATTCAAAATTACAGCTAAACCAAAAAAAAATTTAAAATTATTCTCTATGATTTTTTTCGAACACAGGTGATGTAAAGCCAAAGCAATCAGTAGAGGATTAGTCGATAATGATCTCATACAATGTGGATATTTTGCGAGCAGTTTTTGGCTTGTTTGGTTTTTTCGAACTGGCGAATATCACGTGGGATCTCGGTGTATTTATAGTTCAATGGTACTCCCTTTTAGCTATGATGGGTACCTAACTCACGTTAGGGAAAGGCTGCTGCGCATAGTGCTGACCACACTATCCTTACATAAGCCGATGTCACAGAAAGACGTGAACTCTACTTAACCTACCCCATAGACCGTCAGATTTGGAAGGGGAACTTTACTCCTTTATACATTTTGTCTTATCTAGTCTTATATATATATATATATATATATATATATATATATATATATATATATATATATATATATATATATATATATATATAAAATTATGTGTGTGTGTGTGTGCGTGCGTGCGTCAGCGTGTGTCCGGAGATAAATATGACTTCGTTCAATAATCCTTACGTGGTCGCTACCCCCACCCCCCCCCCCCCCCCGACTGTGGGTACTGTCAGAACATAATGCTACCCAACACCCCCACCTCCCCCCCCCCTCACCCCCACACCTCGCTGCTGTGTGTACACCTAGACACTTGTTTAATAAGCAATAAATCTTTTTTTTTTAATCAAACATCAAATTGTTACTGGTAATTTCTTTTTTCGGTGTGTTTGGGTTACTGAAAGATGGTCGATAATGTATTGCTGGGTACAACAAATAAATATGGAAACATTCGGTCGCCTGAGAAACTTTAAAATACAATCATGTAGCAGAATAACAAAACTACCTGTCTCATAGTCAGACATAAAACAACAACTAACACATATTTACGGTTACACCCAACAACTTGCTAGTAGACACAAATTTGGCAAACATTTGTAATGTTTGGGTCACTACCTCACATACCAAACAAATAATTACCATCAATTGCTGGCAATTACTCATACAGTGTGCATGTGAGCAGAATGTCAGGGGGTAATTACTGTTGTAGCATTAGGCTGGAGCAGTACTCACGCGGACACTGAACGTCATGTGTGAGTATAAATACCACGTGACGTGCGTGCTGTCACGTCCTGTTCATGTAAAAGACAATGTGTGCCAGTTTGGAGTTGTGTGGTATCTGTATTTCGTGTAATAAATCAAATTCATGAACTTTATAAGTGAGATTTCTGAAAACGTGGGATTATAACATCATAATATTCGAAAAGTTTAATTTTGAAAAAGAAACTTGAAAAATGAATATGTTCTAAGAATTATTCTATTCTTTGAAAAGTGGAGTAAAAATATCGCATTGAAATTTTTACCATTGATGAAATGTTTTCTATCACAAACATCACCAAGTGGGTGATTTCTTGAGGTGGCCGGATAAAACTTAGATTGTCACGACCAAGTATTGAAAGTTTCTGGTATTAAAAATGGCATTACACAATCTCGTTGCCTCTGGGATATTTCTGGCTTTATTTTTACACCAGGTTACGAAACAGATTTTAAAATATCTATGTATTATTTACAATTGTTCCATATTTAACATTTTTTAAACTGTTAAAAATAGTCTAATAAGCTTAGTTAGAGAGCTTATTTTTCTGTGTCACTTAAAATTGTTTTGAGCGAGAGGATCGATTTCCCGGTGTAAAAGAGAGTTGGTATAAACAGAACGTTTATTTACCCCGGGGTTCTGTCGAACTAGATCGGTGCATGAAAGTCGGGTCATTAAGTTTTAATACACTGGGATATTTTAGCTCGTCCAGGTAAAATGTAACTGAGCTCTAGTAATCAAGGGGGTAGGGGGGGGGGTAGTATAGGGCTTAATGCGGGGGGGGGGGGGGGTAGTATAGGCTCAATGCGGGTGGGGGTAGTATAGGTTCAATTTGGTGATAACATAGGCTTGATGCGGGGGGCGGGGAGTAATATAGGCTCAATGCGTAGGTAGTGTAGCTTAATGCGGGGGGGGGGGAGAGGGGTAGTTGAGGCTCAATGCTGGGAAGGGGTAGTATAGGCTTAATGCGGGGGCGGGGTAGTATAGGCTTAATGCGGGGGGGGTAGTATAGCTTAATGCGGGGGAGGGGGGGTAGTATAGCTTAAAGCGGGGGGAGAGGGGTAGTAGAGGCTCAATGCTGGGAAGGGGTAGTATAGGCTTAATGCGGGGGGGTAGTATAGCTTAATGCGGGGGAGGGGGGGTAGTATAGCTTAAAGCGGGGGGAGAGGGGTAGTAGAGGCTCAATGCTGGGAAGGGGTAGTATAGGCTTAATGCGGGGGGCGGGGGGGGGTAGTATAGGCTTAATGCGGGGGGCGGGGGAGGGGGTAGTATAGGCTTAATGCGGGGGGCGGGGGTGGGTAGTATAGGCTTAATGCGGGGGAGGGGGGGTGTAGTATAGCTTAATGTGGGGGGAGGGGTAGTAGAGGCTCAATGCTGGGAAGGGGTAGTATAGGCTTAATGCGGGGGGGGGGGGGGAGGGGGTAATATAGGCTTAATGCACAATCATCTTTGATTCCGTTAAATGCTGTCTGCTGTATCATGGATGAAAGTTCTTCTTGTCGGTATTTCAATACGTCTATTCCCTATCGCTATGGTAGCGCGTTATAGCATATCATCCCGATACGTCCCTATTTTAATCTCAATCTATAATTTATAATTGACGTATTTTAATTCGCATTTTGAATCATAATTTCCTTTCAAATTTCTACTCAGACGCGGGCAAAGGCCACAGGGCTCCGAGGGACGCTCTTCAGTGATCAGACCTTTGTGCCAGAGATTCTCCCACTCTCAGTGAAGCTGGCTAAAAACGAAACCGGAAACATACAAGTCTCTGTGACCCTGATGTACACAGACGACGCTCTGGTCAGGTGGTTTATCAACGGTGCCAAGTCCAGCATCATAGGGGAGAAGACTATACGAGTTGTAGACTCTGTTCCGGCTATATATCTGCTAGAGTTCTCTGTTCCTGTGGCTGTGTTTCACCCTAACATATACACACCAATCAGCGAGTTAGTGGGTGGGGAAGACGAAATTTTCGAAGACGAAGATTCAAACGTTTTTGCAAGCGAAAATGAAATATATATCAAATTTGAATCCGGAAGTATGTCAGAGGCGTCAGTTTTAAGGTTAATGATTGATGAAGTTGATGATTTTGAAGACGAGGATGAAACAGGGACAGTTTTAGAAGAAAGCGTGCCAGTTTTTCCTGTTATGAAACAGCTAGACAAAGATAAAATAGTTGCTGTATCAGGGGGGATAACTCGGGTAGCTGTGAATGTTTTGTTTACAAAAAACGATTGGTTCACTGTCCGGGGCATCGTTTACAACTCGACAAGCAACGAAGCTTTTAGTTCTCTATGGGGTACGCTCTACGCTGGTGGTCCGTCTGAGTTTATGAAGCTTTCCCCAGCCCACGAGATCGATTTAGGTAGCAGTTATGATGATTATGTCAGCTTAGCTCTCCCCGACGCTACCGGAAAGCAAACTTGGGTCTCTCAAATCATGATTGATATACCAACACATCATAACGATATCAGCGGTGTGTATAAGATAATCGCACATCATAAAACGGAAGATGGAGATTCGGACTATCTGATCGAGTCTAGTTTAGAACAAAGCTTCCTGTTACAGCGGGGTGGCCAGGAACACGGCCCGTTTCCGGTTGGGTTTCTTCAGTTCGATGGCGGGAAAAACTACTCACAACATACTTGCCAGATTGGCGCCAAGTGTATCGTGTCGTGTCGGGTGTTCGGGTCCAACATCGAACACCTGGACCTGGAGCACAAAAATCTGGCTAGCGAGTTTGTTATGTTGGCCGAGGAACACGTGGAGATTGGGGCGTTTGAAGGGTTGGTTTCTGCTGTCGTAGACTCCAGAGATCCGGACAAATCTGGCACTTACACTTGTGAGGCTGTCAGCGGTGCCACCAAAATACAAAAGGAAATCGACGTCATCATTACAAACTGAAATAAAGAAAACAATGTGCTCGAATTTTTAGGCGTATATTCCCCAAGTCTTGTAAAAATAAAATAAACTTCAAGTTAAAAGCTATCCACCCTCTTGGATAAAATTTCTTTGAAGTTTTACATCCTTAAAAGAAATATAAATATTTCTTATTACACAAAAACATTTTTTTTTGTCATGGAATGTAACTTTCACCAATTTTACATTTAAACAATCAAATACACTACTGCATTGGTATAAACTTGTGTATAGTTTTAGTGTGTCTTGTATCATAATTAAACCTTCTTTAATGGAATAATTTTTTATTATTAATTAGCAAGAATTAACAAACACAATGGAGATTTTTTTTTCATTTTGCGTCAACAGTACCTATTTTATTGGAAGGTGTAACAACAATTCAATTTTTGAAGATCGAATTAGGTTTTATTAGTGGAAAGCTAAGTGAAAATAAAATTTTCCAAAAACAATGAAGATTAAAATTGTAAATCATTTCGATTCAGACGAGGCGACATTTTTCAAAACAAAAGAAACTTTAACATAATATATAGTCGCTAAACTACCTGAGTTTGTTTGTTGATGACGGATGGTCTACCACTGAGACAGAAAACACACAACATTGATTCTTATTTCAAGGCTATGTCCATTAGTTTAATATAAAACGTATTTAAATATTATACATTACCCAAGTCTTTTGAACTAGGGGAAGTAATTATTGGTAGTGAATTCGCCCCTTTTTTATATTCAACTTTTTACATATGAAGTTAATTATTAATAGCTAGATCTATAAACATTTTAAACTGATATAACATTAACCGAAAAAGTTTTTAAGAAAAATCTTAGTTTTTATTCTTTCTTCTCATTTAACAAAAAGCAATCTAAAAATATAATTTACTTTTATCAAAAGCATAGACATTTCAATACGACAAAAACGACTGACGAAGATATAGGATAAGGACTTATAAGACCAAATCTCTCAAGGGAATCGACCCAGTTAAAAGGACGTTCGAACACTCAAACAAGAAGGATGCTTTTCGAGTCGTCTGCTGCTCCAGGAAATTGGGCTGTTTCCGGTCGTAACTAAATCACGGAATCCCGAAAACAAAATGGCGAACGTCTTGTACCTCAGAGCGAGGTTTTTTGTTAAACGTACGACTCTGCTGTCTGAATCACTGTCTTCTCCAATAATATTTGGGTGAATTTTTCTTAATAGTGTATGATAAAGAACGATTGTTAATTTGTTCGCAATGCTAATAGTAAAACAATAACAATAGTACTTGATTCTTTAAACAATGTCTTGCATGACCTTTCTTTTTTACTTTCTCTTGGACCCAACCGCAACACTTCAATTTGTGCTGTCTCCGGCTGATTTCAACACTGACCATAGCACGGACTGCACGAAATACCATTTATAAAGACGTTACTAGAGGTTTAGTGTGTTCTGTTAAGCACGCTAATGGAACTAGCATATTAATAAATGTGAAGTTATACAGGCTTATAGAACCTGGAATTGTTAACTAATTGACTCTAATTAACAGCACTAATGATCATAATTGTGTGTTTGTGATTAGCAAGCAGTAATTCTAGCGATTGTATCGTGGACCACAGAACTATACACTGTACACAATTACTGTACCAATGACCACAGAACTATATTATACACTATTGCTGTACCAATAACCACAGAACTATACTGTACACAACTGTTGTAATAATCACCACATAACTATTCTGTACATTAATGGTGGGCGAAACATTGTACCATTGACAAAATAACTAAACACCGTACTTGTATGTTTAACTAGAGCTCGTACAGTATACTATAAAAAGTGCCACCATTATTTTGGTCGTTTTATAACCACAGGATAAATGTTGCTCTCTGGTGTTTCTACACCACCCGTAATTGGCCCTCTAATTAAATTGTAAATACATCAAACAATATACTCCAGCTACGTCACAAAAGGTAAAACTGTACCACATTTAGTAACAAATGGAATGTGCTTTAAACAGTTAGACCGACATATTTTCTACATTTGTTTTATAAGACAGAATCTCAACTTACCCGTTTAAATAGGTGAATGAGAAGCTGCCTTAGAAAACCCCATACATCAAAATGTAATTTGAAAGGTTTCAGATCAAAGTGTTGGCGGATCTCGGCTAAAAATAGACACGCTGGTACACCACGGTCAAGGTCATATTGTGCACTAGCCTCGGGGGAAAAATGGTGGCCGGAAAGAACCGCAACGGAAAAAAGCGCAACGGAAAAAAGCGCAAATCAAAAAGCGCAACGGAAATAAGCGCACACGGAAAAAAGCGCAAAGAGGAAAAAGCGCACACAGAAAAAAGCGCAAAGAGAAAAAAGCGCAAACGGAAAAAAGCGCAAAGAGAAAAAAGCGCACACAGAAAAAAGCGCAAACAGAAAAAAGCGCAAACGGAAAAAAGCGCAAAGAGAAAAAAGCGCAAACGGAAAAAAGCGCAAAGAGAAAAAAGCGCAAACAGAAAAAAGCGCAAAGAGAAAAAAGCGCACACAGAAAAAAGCGCAAACAGAAAAAAGCGCAAACGGAAAAAAAGCGCAAAGAGAAAAAAGCGCAAACTGAAAAAAGCGCAAACAGAAAAAAGCGCACACGGAAAAAAGCGCAAACGGAAAAAAGCGCAAACGGAAAAAAGCGCAAACAGAAAAAAGCGCACACGGAAAAAAGCGCAAACAGAAAAAAGCGCAAACGGAAAAAAAGCGCAAACTGAAAAAAGCGCACACAGAAAAAAGCGCAAACAGAAAAAAGCGCAAACGGAAAAAAGCGCAAACAGAAAAAAGCGCACACAGAAAAAAGCGCAAACGGAAAAAAAAAGCAAACAGAAACAGAAAAATGCGCAACCAGAAAAAACACAACGAAAAATGTGCAAAAGAGAAATTTAGCACAAAGACCATATGGACTAGATGACACATTTATACATGACTGTTAGGGCTGCTGTGAGAGTGTCGTGTTTGATCACGTGATCTACTACCATTTAAAGCGTACCACTACCATCTGCATTCCCATCACCACGATACAGGCGATAATTACTTTACACAATGCCTATTATTTTCTTGGTCAATAATTATTCAACTACTATTCTCGTATAAACATAAAACTATCGACATTACACGAAGTATCTTTCACATTCTCCCTAGTCCGAACTACCTAGCTTGCATACTATAACAACCCGTTCCTATGGCAAAACTTCACTCTCTTTCATCCGCGTCATCAAACATGCATTCGTCATATCTCTCGTAACAACATTCATTCGCACCAAAATAACAATTTTGTATTTAATATTTTTTCACATCATGACGCACCTACCTACCTACCTACTACCCACCTACCCACCTACCTACCTACCTACCTAACTACCCACCTACCCACTTACCCACTTACCCACCTACCCACCTACCCGCCTACATACTTACCAAACTAACCACCAAAAAAGTATCGGCGAAGTTCGTACGTTTCGTAAACTGTACTAGACATCTTTTTTTTAAGCCCTAACAGTCAGGTATAAATGTGTCATCTAGTCCATATGGTCTTTGTGCTAAATTTCTCTTTTGCACATTTTTCGTTGTGTTTTTTCTGGTTGCGCATTTTTCTGTTTCTGTTTGCGCTTTTTTCCGTTTGCGCTTTTTTCCGTTTGCGCTTTTTTCTGTTTGCGCTTTTTTCTGTGTGCGCTTTTTTCAGTTTGCGCTTTTTTCCGTTTGCGCTTTTTTCAGTTTGCGCTTTTTTCCGTTTGCGCTTTTTTCCGTTTGCGCTTTTTTCCGTGTGCGCTTTTTTCTGTTTGCGCTTTTTTCCGTTTGCGCTTTTTTTCTCTTTGCGCTTTTTTCCGTTTGCGCTTTTTTCTGTTTGCGCTTTTTTCTGTGTGCGCTTTTTTCTCTTTGCGCTTTTTTCTGTTTGCGCTTTTTTCTCTTTGCGCTTTTTTCCGATTGCGCTTTTTTCTCTTTGCGCTTTTTTTCCGTTTGCGCTTTTTTCTGTTTGCGCTTTTTTCTGTGTGCGCTTTTTTCTCTTTGCGCTTTTTTCCGTTTGCGCTTTTTTCTCTTTGCGCTTTTTTCTGTGTGCGCTTTTTTCTCTTTGCGCTTTTTTCCGTGTGCGCTTATTTCCGTTGCGCTTTTTGATTTGCGCTTTTTTCCGTTGCGCTTTTTTCCGTTGCGGTTCTTTCTGGGAACCGGGGATAAATGTAGGTGGTGCAAAATCGTGACGGGTTTTGTAAAACAAAACCTCAGTCAGTTGATGCTGGATATCTGGGGCACCAAATGATATACGAGAGAAAACTCCAACAATCGAACACCTGCTGCCTTGTAGTTTGTTCTTGGCTGGACAAAGGCTATGGAAACAAATCCAAAAAGAAAAGCAGGCTGAAATCGGACTCAACGGCCCTATATGACGCATAACCAGTTGACACGTAATACTTCATTGTGTTGGAAGAAATCTCTTTCAACTTTACAATTAAGAATGAAGAAGTTGGAGATTGATGTGTAAAACACATTCTTTGTGTCACACATTAAGATGTGAATGATGTGTAACACCATTTCGTTGTATCGAACTGAGGTTCACCCAGTCCCTTCTATTTATTGCCGATCCCAAAAAACAATTATTTTGACGGCGTGAGAGTGTTATGTGGAGGGACAATTTTTTAAAATACGTCGTAAATTTCTTTAATGAATGTCTAAATGGACTTTTACATTAAAAGGTAATTATCAAAAACTTCAAAGGACGTGTGCCTTTTTAAGTAAACAGAATGAGTTTAAATTTATCTTTTGACCTTTATCGAATAAAAAAAGAATTACACTCCTCATCTTTAATAAACTATTGATACATATTTTTTTTTTGGCTTGGGGCATAAATTGTTGTTTTTAATTATCTCGGTTTCCATGGTAACAGTCTTGTTCACGTGCTATTGACGTCATCACGTCCTCGTGTTACGTGGCACGGTAAAACTTAAATAATTTCGCTTTGTTTATTTAATATGTGTCTGGTAATAGCAAGATATCTAGGCCTTATAATA